AAGTTCCCAATATTCTAACATTCACATTCGGCGCCATTGTGGTCTACTAGATATTTGCATTTCGATCCCGATCTAAATTCTCATTATCAAAATTACCTAAGGCTAAAACTTCTAGATAAATAAAGTTACAATACCTATTGAATTTCAAGATTATTTATAGGGTTATTTTCATTAATTCATCTCATTTTTCATAATTATTTTTCATTGTTTTGTAGAACTGGAAGAACCAGTCCATGTCATTATCATTGTAAATAAATAAACATCATATTTTCATCATTATCATCTTTTGTCTTATTTTATGATCATCAGGTAGAATTCTCAGGTGGATACTCCCTCGAACCTGACTGTCCCAAGAGCAGAATAATTTATTATTCCCCTCTTGGGGTTGCAGTCATATTACATTTTTGGAGGCTCCAGGGGGATTTCCTTTGGGAAAGCAATCCCCTTTATCAAGAAGTGACCTCTCCCATTAGACAGAGTACATCATCAAGGGTAGACAGAGACTACACAGGCTTTGGTTCATACAGTGACAATTATTATTATGACCAACAGTACTATCAAACTGTCCCTGATACATATCAGACAAATTACAATTCCCGTCCCCAGAGAGATTATGACTATTGGGAAAGGCAAAATTCTACTTCAGTCTCAGGTTATCAAAACCAGAGTGCAAGAAATCTTGCATATTCCACCGAACAGCCAAATTCATCCTCCCTTTATTACAATCAGTATTCATATCCTGAGACCCAAGCATCTGCCCCTGCGTATTCATCAGTGCATGCAACACAACATCAGTTTCATTCTCATGCTCAACCCCAGTATGCATCTCCCTACTCACCACAAAGTGCAAGCAATCTTGCAGGTCATCAAATCATGCAAAGTTCACATATGCCCCATACCAACATCTCACCATTGTGTATGTGTGAAGGACAAAGAGAGAGGGTGCAAGTTGAGAAGTATGATGATCGAAAGTGGGACTTGGATGACTATATGACTCATTTTGAGATGGTTGCGAGTTTGAATAATTGGAGCAATAGTGAGAAAGCTCAGAGATTAGTGATAAATTTAAGAGGTTCAGCTCAAAAACTTTTGGGGGGTCTAACATTATGCCAGTTAAATGACTACAATGCCCTTAAACAAGAGCTCTATCAAAGATTCTCCCCTAAGGAAAGAGAAGATGTGTATAAGTGTGAATTCCGAGAATACAAGAGAAAAACTGGTGAGAGTGTAACAGATTTTGGGTACACATTACGTAGAATTGCCCAGAGAGCTTACCCACATATTCCATACAGCAATCTAGAGAGTTTTCTGGTTGACAGATATATTCATGGGTTAGGAAACTCAGAACTAAAGAAACACGTGCAATTTCGACCCCCACACTGGCCACCAAAATGCAATATGACTGCAACCCCAAGAGGGGAATAATAAATTATTCTGCTCTTGGGACAGTCAGGTTCGAGGGAGTATCCACCTGAGAATTCTACCTGATGATCATAAAATAAGACAAAGATAATAATGATGAAAATATGATGTTTATTTATTTACAATGAACAATGAAATAACATGGACTGGTACTTCCAGTTCTACAAAACAATGAAAAATAGATATGAAAAATGAGATGAATTAATGAAAATAACCCTATAAATAATCTTGAAATTCAATAGGTATTGTAACTTTATTTATTTAGAAGTTTTAGCCTTAGGTAATTTTGATAATGAGAATTTAGATCGGGATCGAAATCTTTAATAGACCACAATGGCGCCGAATGTGAATGTTAGAATATTGGGAACTTAACTTTTGGGATAATTTTGAATTGTGCTCAAATAACTAAGTACCGAAAACGGTACAAAGTGCTCAGAATACGGGAAGGTTAGCTTACCCGTAGTAAGGCTGCAGAGCAGTGGACGCTAGGAGAGCAGTCCGCCGATCTACTCGAAACACGGCCTTATATACGGTGAGTACACAAAAGAAATGGTCACCCAACCGTGAACTGTTAAAACCCATATAACTGGACAAGATAATAGACTTTAAACCTATCAGATTACGTTTAAGATATAGAGTTACGGATTTAAGGGCAACATGGACGTCTATAGTAAACAAAGATGTCTAAAATCGTGAGGTAAGTAAACAATTGACTTTAACAAAAATACTGTCCCTAGACTAAGTGTCAAATAAGTTAAATATCCTTAGACTTAATAATAACAATGGGAGGCCTTATTTAATGCAGAAATGTAATGATAATAGGGATAAAATAATGAGTTTTATCACACACGCCGACGGAAGAATCCTATTTGCAAAAAACAAGAAACCCTGATTAGTCATGCACATCCAAACATGTTTTTTAAAAGATTCTTTGCAAATTAGGGCATTGTTCACTTTCTCTTTAACTACGATGGATGAGCTTGAATATCTAAATTGTTACGTCAAAATACTGTACTTGACTTCAAAACTATAGTGCAAACTGTTTTGCTTTAAAAAACAGAGGCTTTTTTTTGTTTTGCTTGACAGTTGAATTGTGGAACCTAATCAGAAAAAAATGTCCATATATATATAAGAAAATAATTTAATTTTTTGAAAATTCATGAGGTACATCAACTACAACGCTTGATGCCGACATATATAAGCACTGTACTAAATAGAGAGTGGCATATTGTACCATATATGATCATTGCAAAACAGAGTTACTTCTCCTTTAACGACTCTCCAAGCTTTTAAAAGTCTACTTTCGTTTTAATATATCTCAAATATATTAACTAAAAATGAAAGTTAACCATGATTTCTTCCAGTAAAATTCTTTATGTTTTTACAAGAAAATTCATGGCTTATTTAGTTCAAAGTTTTAAGATATTCTTCTTAAATATTTTTCAAATTTAACAGTATGGAGATGAATGAATCATAGAGGTCATATACATGTACATGGTTTACTTGTGACTTCACGGCTATAAATATCTCTTGATAAGTGATTAGTCATTGTAGGTCCGATATAGTTGGATTATCTACTTGATCTATCTCAATTAAATGGGTCATCCAATAAAAACCATGACCTACTTTTTTTTTTTCAAAATCCTATTAAAACATTTTTTTTTTAAATGTACAAGGCTTTGTTGACAATTTTTAGACTTAGAAGTATGTTAAGCATGATATAAGTAAATGCACGTAGTAATGTTTGAAGTACATTTACAAGTGTATACCGCACAATTGATTTAAGAAAAAGCCTTTTATATAATTGAAAAATTAAACTCCTAGGTATGAATTGTGAACATTGTATGAATGTGATAAAAGGACAATGTATTCACTATCATATCATTCACTATTATTATCAATTTTTACAACTATCATTCATGTGGAAGGGTTAAAGTGACAATATTCTCTTATCTTATTACCAATTATGCTTCAGAAGCTACATTTAAACTGTTTTTCTCAGAAAAGAAACTTGCTTAAAAACTCTTAATTAAATATATGGAGATAACAAACAGTGTTCAAGCTCAAAAGTTCATGAAACAATACAAAATAGAAGCAGAGCAAACACGGATCTCCAAAACATCAGGGTGGGATCAGGTGCCATAGAGGAGTGAGCATCCTCTGCCGAGCGGTCACACCCGCCGTGTGCTCCTTGTCATGATCGAGAAATAACGTAAAATCCGTCAAATTTTTAGTGTGTAATGTGTATACATGTATAACGGCTTCACAATAAGTATGCAAGCATCAGTCGGAATTTGACTTCATGAATGCATTTGATGACAAGGTCACTGTATCGACTTTAGATCTTAAAAATGACGACATTAAACGAAACTGTTGAAGCTATTATCCTATTATAACTAGTAAATCCTTACATGCTGTTGGCAACTCAATACCTGTATGCTGAACAACAAATTAATCATCTCATTTTCCTGTGAAAGTTCAAAATTTGGCAAATAGGTATATTAAACGTTCGCAGGTGTTAAAAAATCTTACTTGAGCTTCGATTATCCTTCGAATTTTCTTCTTTTTATCATATCAAGAAATTTTTCATTTGTAATTCACATTATGTAGTTCACAAGACCAGTATTAATTTCTCTTCTTTTTATAGTGTTTCTTCCAGGGTTTTTTCTTCAAATTTAACATTTTTCCAGCGACTTATCACCAAATCTGATGAATGTGAATTATTTGTTTAGTTGAGGATACCTCAATTATTTAGAGTAAAAGTAATAAGAATGTCACAAAAATGATACACACTTCTATCAGTTTACTATTCATGTACATTTTTTATAATATATTATGATATAAGGTGCTTAGGTCGAGGATAATGTATATATGTACATCTACTTTGTAGGGCATAGAATAAAACAGTATTTGGATCATTTTTTCAAGTGTATCGTGTTTTCAGATATTCTTTCATAAGTTTTTCTTAATGATAAACAATCAGCAATAGTTTTATACTCATGACATTGTAATTATACATACAACTGTATATTTAAATGAAATGTTTAAAAATATGTGCGTTTTATTATTCATTTTATAAAGGAAAGACCTCAAAATTTAGATTAATTATTCTCCTAATCATTTAATCCCCTTTTAAACATAAAAGATAGTCAGAGAAGAGTCTTAATCAAAATCGTCTTGGAAATAGGAAAAATGGGGTTCATACAATCATAAAAAGATTTCAGTTTGTCCTAACTTTTACCCCAAGTCAAGGTTATTATATGTGTATGAATTGTATATATGTATATAATTTGTTATTTTAGTTTCAGCAAATATTAAAATTCAAATAAAGTAGCATTGACGTAAAAACATGATTGCAGCATTAGGAAAAACAGTTTTTCCTTTTGCCTCAATCAAACAATCTTGTTTCACTTAAAAGTACAAGTATATTAAAACCTTAATAGATAATATTTTTCTTCACGTTAAAGGTTATGTTTCATAAATGGTTGCAATTAAAATTTTTGTGAATAACTATGGATCTTAGAAAGAAGAGTTGCTATAGTTCATCCTTATATCCCCCCAAAAAGGTAAGACAGACAAAAAGACAAGAATGTATTTAAAATACAAAGAAAATCCGTTACATTGGTTTCCACTGCTGTATGGTGTAGAAATCCGACATACGAGGAGTGGTTGTTCCATTCAGGGTAAAGATCATTGGGGGCTCACTACATGTCTGGGCAGCAATCTACAACAGGTGTACCTTTCACTCATTAGTAATTTTCAATTGCCAATCAGTGCATGCTAGTGTATTTGTAAACTGACTGTCTACAAAGGAACTCTAAAGGTATAATTGTATGTTTCTAAAATAGACAAAAGTAAATACATTAGAAAATGAAAATTTTAAAAGTAATGTAAATTTATATGATTTTTATCGAGGGAAGTTTATCTTTAGCTAAAAATGCATACACGGAAATTGAAATTATTAGCAATCAGTTTTGTATAAAAATATTAATATATTACATGTATGTACATGTAGATACATGTATAATATTTATGGGAAAAACGTATAAAAAAGAAAAGAAAACACAACACTTTATATATCGACGCGTATTATATTTTCATTTTTTGTATACACGATATATCCTTGTGAGCTTGTAATAAAAGATACCACAGAGTCTGACACATCTGTTTCATATTTGGATATTTTACGAGAAAAAGATGTTAATTGTTATCTAACAACAAAACTTTATGATAAACGTGATGACTTTAACCTTTCAATTGTCTACTTCCCTTACTTATATTTTGTCACCTGCATACACAATCGCATCACCTCTGGTCTTTCCGTCAGATGTCGGAAAAACAACCTCGAATGTATTAACATCAACGAATGTTAAAAATTTATACATTTCCTCTTCATTTGAATATAGAATTGGAGGGGTTAGAAGTCTCTTCATTTGTATATTTTAGGTAATATCATTACATTCAATAAAGTTAAACTTCATACTCCACAGACAAGAGGTCTTCCAACATTTATTTCAAAGTTTGTGAAAGGGGGGGGGGGGTGTCATGGCGTCTATGTAGTACATTCGAGGTCGTTCAGTTGATTCGATATGGAAGAACATCTTCTACGCATGAAAAATTTCTATTGATTGATTTTATGTTGTTTAACATAAGTCCCGAGGATTTAAACACTAATACCGGTATTTGATGGATTTGAGAGATCAAACGCTGTTCGTTAACTCCACATGTTTCAGGAATTCAATTTCATAAAGTTTTGTGTTTTTTTTTTGTTTTGGAAAAATGTCCCATTTGAATGAAAAATACAATTCATAAAATTTCAATTAAATAGTTTTTGAATGACTTTTTCTCATTAAAGCAAATAATTTCACATTGTTAAGGTCAAGATCTAGTAAATGAAAGGTGCCTACAGATTTATCAAATTTGAGAAATAATTTCTTTTATTGATACTTAACAACTTTAGCTTGGTCAAATAAGGTGTTTCGGGGCATAATTTTGTAGGTAAACAAGATGAAAAACTGTATTTTAAACTGTCGTTTTCAATGCAAAATTAAGAAAACCAGTCATGAATATGGGAGTTTTATTATATTCGACAAAGGAAATGTATCCAGATTGCCTACAGTCTCTCAGAAAACGGTAATTTGTTTGTTCATGGCCTCTTCTTTAAAATTTTATCAAATTTAATATAGGTATCCGGTTTACTTTTCATATCATTTCTTATTGAATGTCATGAAAATACCCTATTTTCTACATAATTCTGCTTAAGCCGTAAAGTACGGGAAAAAGAAAGTTGAAATTGATTATGACGTCATAATGGATCTAGCACCAAAAATTTAGTCTAAAGTCATTTACTAGATCTTGACCTTGAGTGCGGGTATATACCATATTTCTGATAGTCATTGACTGGATCATGCAGGAAACAACAAAGGGCAGTAAAAATGGAATCCAGTGAACCTTCACAAAACAGCTAGAGGACCTGGATTTTGCAGATAACATTGACCTGCTCCCGCACAAGCTACGAGACGCTCGTAAAACTTTCAAGATTGGCGTCAGAAGCCCAAAAGACTGGCCTTAAAATAAATACCAAGGAAACCGAGGTATAAGAATTAATAACAAACAAGAGACACCAGTTCAGTTAAATGGGGAGAACATCAAAGAAACTGACAGATTCACCTATCTTGGGTAAACAAGGATGGTGGAGCAGATGATGACGTCAGAAGCAAAATTAATAAGGCAAGACATGCTTTCCACACCCTCAGACAAATCTGAAATTCTAAAAGCTCTCTCCATCAACAGCAAAATCAGGATTTTAATACAAATGTTAAAGCAGTTCTTTTGTATGGTTCCGAGACCTGGAAAGTTACGAAAACAATTAACAGCAAATTACAGTCTTTTATTAACAAATGTCTCCGCCATATCCTTAACATCAGATGGCCTGATACCATACTAAACAACAGCCTATGGGAGAGAACCAACCAAAATCCAATAGATATTTACATCCAAAAGTGAAAATGGGATTGGATAGGACACACCTTACGCAAACCCTCAAACAACACACAACTAAACAAGCTCCGGATTGGAATTCACAAGGAAAGAGGAGGGTTGGGAGACCAAGGCAAACCTAGAGGAGATCTATAGAAATGGAAGCAAAAGAAGCTGGATTTACCTGGACCCAACTAAAAAGGATCGATAGCTCAAAACAGAGTCCATTGGCGCGGTGTGGTTGCGGCCCTATGCTCCCCAAGGAGTGAACAGGAATAAAGGAAGTAAGTCAAGTGCTGGTAACTTATATTCTTTGTGAATTAATGTAAGTGCATGTAAATGTAAAGAGGAATCTATTTTGAAAAATACCAAAATTTTCAAATTTTTCCGAAGATTATCCTTTCTTTAAAATTTATAAGACTATGCACTTAATTTTGAGTCCATGTCCTTCAGTCAAAACTCTCTTTTCGTAAAAAAATTGTTAAAACCAATTCTGATAACTCATTTGTGAAAATGTGGTTTTCTATTGTTCTATTAAAATCAAAATGGAAAAAAGACATGTAAAAAGATAAAATATCCTTCGATAGAACAAAAAACAACCTCTTTGACATAGGAAATAATACTAAAAAACAGACAAGAAGCGTTTTTATAAGTCCGCATTTATCTAAATTTCTAATATTCTTATTCTTTTACTTTGATTGAATAAAAACATAACAATTAAATGAATTTGTACAAATAAGACTCCTCTCAATGATTATTCATATTACACCGTGATAAGTCGCTTGAAAAATAAATTGTATTTGAAGAATACTTAAGTAGGAGAACCAGATACATGTAATGTAAAGGAAAATTTCGTGGCAGTTTTGAACAATGCATAATTTTGATTTATTAAGCGAGGGTTTTTGTAAAGAAAAAAATCTGGAAGGCTCGATACTGGTTTAAAATGTTTTATTTATATTTTGAGGGCTATACTGACAGAGGAGGTCAATACCTTATTAATATTGCACTTACCTCAAAGCCATCTCCAGAATTAGTACAACCAATGAGAAACCCTGCTAAATCATTACTATTTTGGAAGAAAGTTGCAACAGGCGTGTACGGCTGAATACTTTTACAGGAAGATTTTACCTGTAAAAATGTATCCCCGACAATCATCATGAACGACACTTACAAACTAAGGTTATATAAATGTAAATTTGAACTGTATTCCTTGCAGATTTTAAGAATAATTACGAAAATTTAAAAAGTTTAATAAGAGGTTCAGCATTAAAAAATAGTTTAAAGAAATCAAAAAGCTAAATACACAGCAGTTTTGACTTGTAAGAAATTATAGCCTCTTCGAAATGATATACAGATCAAATGTATAACTTGTTTTATGTTTCAATCCGTATATTCATCACTCAAATGTATAATAATTATATTTAGAATTTAGACTTCTAAAAATTTTTACATCTCCAATATCGGTGTAATTTTGCTTTCAACACTAATGACAGACATGAGGGGAAACACATATGCTATCTCCAATTATCAAATTCATTATCAAAGTCACATATTCAAAAAAGAAAATTCAAGACTTCCTCGTCTAAAAAATACTCTACCGATAAACCCCGCATCCAGGAAGTCCTTTCCGTGGAGTTACATTTGTTGATGACGTAGGCGTCAGATGATTGGTGTTTATTATTACTGGGGCAAAGTGCTGCTCTGTTGTCCTCGACATGTACATTTTCTGCGATGGATGCGATAATACTGATCTTGTGGTGCTTACATTCCAAAGGAACCAACGGTAAGGTCGTGGAAATGGTTGTAGTGGAAGTGGTGGTAGAAGCTTTAGTAGTTGTACTTTGAACTATATACACAAACATTTCTCAAAACTGACAACTTAAAACTTACTAGTATCTTTTATGCTATATTTGCTTGGGTATTTACATTAATTAAGTCATATTTGTAACATTCAGCCATTGGGTAAAATTGGCCTGAGCTAGGTTTAAACCAGTTACACTAAAACTTAATAATTACTTATTTCTGAACCTGTCTGTCAGATTGTCTCGCTTGGCTTTCTAGTGCCCCCATCCAATCCCTGGGGGTATGATTTGAACAAACCAGAAGCTACACTACCTGAGGATGCTTCCATATAAATATCACTAATCACAGCTTTGCAGTACTTGAGAAGAAGCTTTTAAAACTCAAGAAGATTTTTCCTATATGTCATATGAAAACTTTGATCAGCCATTGTGGCCCACCCTACCTAATCATGATTGGGACAAACTTGAATTTACACTACCTGAGGATGATACAAGATAAGTCTCATCTTCCATGTCCCTATGGATCTTGAGAAGATTTTTCCTATATATTCCTATGTAAAAATTGATCGGCCATTGTGGCCCCACCCTACCCCCAGGGGTCATGAATTGAACAAATTTATATCTACACTACCTGAGGTTGATTTCACATGAGATTCCTCTTTCCTGCCTCAATGGTTCTTGAGAAGAAGATTTTTTTAACAGATTTTTCCTACATATTGCTATGTAAAACTTTGATCGGCCATTGTGGTCCCACCTTACCCCCGAGGATCATGATTTGCTCAAATTTATATCAACACTAGCAGAGGATGATTCCACATGAGTTTCATCGTTTCTGGCACAGTGGTTCTTTTTAAAAATGCCATTAATTTTTCACAAATTCATAATTATCTCCCCTTGGAAGATGGTGTGGCCCTTCATTTGAACAAAATTGAATCCCTCTTACCCAAGGATACTTTGTAGCAAGTTTGGTTGAAATTGGCCCTTTGGTTCTTGAGAAGAAGATGAAAATGTTAAAAGTTTATAACAACAACGACAACAATGCCAACAACGACGACGACGACAAACAACGACTCAAGTGAGCTAAAACTGAGCTTAATCTGTTTAAAATGGAATAGAATATAAATGATAACTTCAGGATAACCCTCACTGCCCCCAAGGCGTTGCAGAGGTATAACTTACTTGCATATACTTATTTAATTTAATGTCTACCTGATTTCCGGGAAGTTTTCAGTCAAGGTGAAAGTTATGAACGATTATTAAACAACTGAATTTGAGATATACATTGGTGTTAATTACATGTACATTGCAGTGGATCACACTCCTACCTACCCAGACATTGGCAGTAATGAGTTCGGAAGACACCAAAGGTGAATCCTTTATGACACACTCCTGTCTCCCCAAGTTGGCAAACACACTCATTATCTGTTAAACATTCTGAAGAAAAGAAAAGGAAATAAGTTATTTTTTGTTCTTTATTTTTAAATAAGAGCTCTCCGTGATCAACATGAGGGTTGATATTTTAAAGACAGCATAAGGATAAGAAAGTATACGATGTAGATTTGATTTATCAAGAAAATTGAACACCGAAAAAGAAGGACTTCGATTGAAGGTAGAAAAAACGTATCATTACATTCTAATTCAACTTGTCACAATTGTCGACTGCAGAAGTTTGTATATAATGATTAAATTTGTTGCACTGAAACCAGATTTATAAAATATAATTCAACAAGCTGCTTAACTTTGGATATGATCCTTTTTTAAGACAAATAAATACATAAATAGATACATGTATACCTGTTACATTGGTATTTCAGACTGCGTATACTTTGTTCTTATGTTGAAAATGAAGTCTAAACACCAGTATTAATTGTAGAATCACTACTTAACTTTAGAGAACATCATTACTTCTAATTCAATACATTGAACTTAACTTCCTGTTTAGAGTATTCAGCACTTGAATTTTGTACATTACCATAACAATGACAAGAAGACATCCCTCCGTAATGTGAGCAATGAGGATGTTCTCCGTGGTGGCAATGGCTGCTACAGTCATTATCAGATGAACAGATATGTGTCATAGCTGGAATATTAAACAGGCAAAGTTAGAATACATTTTATCTTACCTAGCTTTATTTTGTTCGTTTCATATAGGAAAGAATCGCATATAAAGTTTTCATTTTTTGAGTATAATAATAAAGTGAAACTCCCCAACAAGCACAAACATTAAAGCAATAAAGGCAAAAATTTAGTTTTCTCCCAAAAACATAATTAACAATTTAAGTCCATTTAATATCAATAGACATGAAAATTTCAGCATGAATTTGAAGAGTGCATTTATCCAAATAAAGGGCTGTAGGTTTCAGAGTGAAATACAATTATAAACAGGCACGTAGCAACGGGGGGGGGGGGGGGGGGGGGGGGGGGGGGGGGGGGGGGGGCCCCCCCTTTTTTTCCCAACTATACTTTTACTATTGAAAATGTCCATTGAAAGGTTGGTTGGCCCCCCACTTCTTACCACAGCATAGTGATATGAAGGAAAATGTTTTATGCAGAAAAAGTTGGAAGTGAAAGGAAGTGGGCCTTGAAAAAAGTTAGCCACTAACCCCCACTCCCCCCCCCCCCCCCCCCAACACCCACGAAAAAGGATTTTCGAGTTTGGGCAATTTTCTTTTTTTTTTTTTGGTTTGCTTGTCAACTTTTACAGGTAAGGTAAAAAAATTTTAAAATTTTCTCTGGTTGCCCCCCCCCCTCCACTTTCAAAAACGATGCTACGTGCCTGATACATATATACCATATACAAATTGCTTATCTTCAAACCAAAACAAGCGAGTTCAGACTCGCTTATTGATTGGGGTGCAAAGAACAAAATAGCATACGAGAATTGTATCCGTCATGTCTGTCCAAGCGTGTCTATCTATCATGCCGAATTTTTAAAACTGGAATGTTTTGATACAGTTACTACCCATAGTTGATACAAATATCTCTTTGTTTCCACTGTAACCCACTGTATACTAGGATTAGTGATGTTGATGGATGATATGTCTGTTGGCTATTGAACTCTTTAACGGAAACAAGTGCGGGGGAAATGAGACTTTCCAATCATTGCTAGCGCTCTCGAGCGCTAGCAACTACGTTAGTCCAAATTTCTTGAATACGCATGCTCGGCTTCACGGTCGTGCATTCTGGGAAAATTACTATAGATAGACAGTATGATAACTATTTCGTTTGTACCACGTTGTAGCATTAAATAACCATGTTTATTTATACAGGGAAATGACAACAAGATGTTTGTTTTAACCTTTATTTTGGCGAACATTGGCCGTGGCATAGTATTTTGTGGGATGCCAATTAATACACACAACTTTTGGGCAAACCCACACAAATTCAACAAAATTCATCAACACAAACAAGTAATATGTTCAAAAATGACCACCCCGGGTAAACCGCGGGTGGTTACTTATTTAAGGTTACTTATTTGAGTGTAATTAGTTATATGCACAATTCAAGCACAAAACATATATTTTACATATAAAATGGTTCAACACTTCAACCCCTTCACAGTTCAATGGTGAAAACTTCACAACAATACAAAGTTTATGTAGGCCTCAGTTGCTTTGGTGTGCGCAAACGCCGCTCCTCTACAGGTTATGCCACATTTCGTTAAGACGACATCCAGTGCAACGGATTCTGTAAAATACAAAGGAAAAGCCAACACCAAGAACCAAATATGCAATCATTTAAACTCCAAATTAAGGGAATGGGTGGGTGGGATATTTAATACCGATGCAAAAAATTTCTTACAAATATTATGAAAAAACTTGACAAAGAAATATTCAACCTACTCTGTATTCAGCAAGTTGATGAAAAGAATGTTGATCCCGAGCTTTCCGACTTATATATACCCAAGGCCGCAGGCCGATCCCGACCAAAAAATTAATACCTTTTTCCCGTAAATTAAAGTCATCTGATTTTATATGCATAAAATAGATGATATTATTTATACAGGGAAATGAAAACAAGATGTTTGTTTTAACCTTTATTTTGGCGAACATTGGCCGTGGCATAGTATTTTGTGGGATGCCAATTAATACACACAACTTTTGGGCAAACCCACAAAAATTCAACAAAATTCATCAACACAAACAAGTCATATGTTCAAAAACGACCACCCCGGGTAAACCGCGGGTGGTTACTTATTTAAGTGTAATTAGTTATATGCACAATTCAAGCACAAAACAAATTATATCAACATATCAGCAAATATTTTACATATAAAATGGTTCAACACTTCAACCCCCTTCACTGTTCAATGGTGAAAACTTCACAACAATACAAAGTTTATGTAGGCCTCAGTTGCTTTGGTGTGCGCAAACGCCACATGACAGCGAACAACCAAAGGAAAGTTCGCGGTCATCCCACACATGGGGGAAGCACCCAAGCAACTGACAAAAAAGCCCCCACGGACCAATGTTCTTTATGTTTTGTTTAAGGATACACATTGCCTTGTTTTGACAGGAAAAATTCTAACCACCCTTGGATATTATGTAGAAAGAGTTTATTTCCTAGGTCATTGTGGTGTACTCCATCTGGCAACAGAAATTGTGACACGTTTTTCAATAAATCAGGCTACTTTATGTAACAACCCCCCAACTCTAGAACTAATGAAGCAGCTACCCTATTGGCCTTAAGACGGGATCGCTCCATTGCTTTATTGTCCCCCCGAGTACCTCCATTTATTTCGTGGCAGCATCTGTGACCAAACAAGTGTAGAATGTGGAAAACAAGTCTTAATAATCTTTAGATGGGATTTAATTTTCTCAATTAGAGTATACAGATCAATTACCCTATGTCGTTTGCCCCACAGTGAATAACCAAAAAGTCTGGGGATTCCTCGTAATCTGTCAGAAAAAAACCTTTTTTAAAGTCTCAAAAAATTAAAACCTGAATATCCCTGCCACCAGATATTTATTTTCAATCTATCCAATCCAAGATTTGTTCCCCCCAGTCTGCATACTGATGCCATCATTGCATTCTTAATAATAGAGGAGCCCACACACCAGACTTTAACTTCAGGGACCTCTACAAATTTATGCAATAATTTGAATGATTGTTGTTATATTTACAAAATTACAACTTATTTGCCCCCAACATCTGCCCAATAGGACAACATATGTATGATTTGTATGCCCTAGATTTCCAACGCCCTGCTTCCATTATGACATCTTGTGAACAACCCGATTCAAATGCTGCAGTGGCTGCCCCGATACGAAATGAATGGGTCCTATAATGTCCCTGAACCCCCCCCCCCCAAAACTGAAGTGATTTTTTCAAAACCGAAGAGAACTGATAATGTACCTGGTAAGGGGATTTTTTTCCACAGTGGATAAATAATGGCCCTTCAATTTTTGGTCTTACTGCAAGATAATATATCAAACTTGCTACTGGACACAGGATTCCCCCACTTTTTTCAATGGCTAAAGAAACCCCCTTTCTATCCTGATCACATTTTGACATTCTTATGTGTACAAAAACCTTGGAGTAATTAGCTTCAAATTGAACATCAGTCACTTGTAAAATTATATGAACACTATTACCAGTAGACAATGTGAATTTCCCTATTCTGAGAAAACCAAAGAAGGCTAATATATAAGCAGCTCTGAACAATTTTGTTTCATAACTATCGCTACAAATGCTCGGTAAAACCCTAACAACTTTAGTAAGCAACTGCAAGGTTATAGGTAGCCTTGCATCTACAGACCTACCAGTTCTTCTCATACCCTCAAGAACCTTTACAACCAGAAAGTTCTTTGTTTCATCAACCCAATTGTGGATTTTGCATTGAAAACTAATAGAAGATAGATAAGATTTAGAAAAGCATAGGGACACTTCTTAAGTGACAGATAAGCAACAAAGTGAACAACATCCCTAAGAGGTGGGGGCCATGAAATTTCGTACCCAAATTCTTTCCGGAAATTATAAAATGAATTTTGTCCTGTTTCGTATGTTGTCTTAGTGTTTTCAGAGATTGAAGCATCTAGCAATTTATTCATTTGAATCTGTAAATCATGTTGACTAATTCTACTGGAAGAGGGTCTGGTCTGGTGCTTGCCACTGGTGCCAACGTCTTGAAGCGGAACCACTGTTTGCGAGAAATAGAATCTGCAATTTTGTTATCCAAGCTACCAATGTGATTTGCCCTAAATATAACATTGTTGATTATCAGTCTAAGAACCAAATGTCTTACCAATTCCATAACTCTTTTGGACTTGGAAGATTGGGTATTGATGACACTAACTAGTGAAAGGTTATCAACATGAAACTGGACTTTTTTATGTAGCAACCTAGGTCCCCATATCTCTATTGCTAAAACTACTGGTATGAGCTCAAGAAAAGCCATGTCTCTCAAAATTTCTTGGTTGTTTCAGTGTTTTGGCCATTGGAGAAAAAACCAACTTCCACTAAAGTAACCCCCACAACCTAAAGGACCTGAACCTGCACTATCTGTAAATAACTGTTAAATGCTAGAATCTTCCCATACAGTATTAGGAAAATATGCTACCCCACTGAAATGGTTCAAGAACACCAGCCACATTCTAAGGTCACTTTTAATTCCAACTGATAATCTAATATGATGATGTGGCTTGAAAACTCCACTAAATGCATCATACATTCTTCGAATAAAAAGCTCTACTAGATCTGATTGCCTTTGAGAAAAAATTGAGCATTCCAACTAAAGACTGCATTTCTTGCAGTGTAACTTTTTCCTTATCTAAAAAAATTTCCAATAAGACTCTTCAGGATTTCTAACTTTGTTTCTGGGATCTTAATTGTCATCTCTAGTGTATCAATTTCGAAACCTAGAAATATTAATTTTGTCGTTGGACCAGAAGTTTTCTCATGGGCTAGTGGTACCCCTAAATCCCCAGCTATGTAACTAAAAGTAGACATTAGAATTTCACATTCACCACTACCAGACCTACCTGCAAAAAGGAAATCGTCTAAATAATGATCTAATGTATTCAATCCAGACTTGAACTGAGTAAGCCAGTGTTGAAAAGTTGCAAATGTTTCCCAAATTCT